GTCATTAGCATTCTAGATATTGCTATTCCATTGTCTTCTGTTTCGCCTGTGGGACCTCGCTAAACTTGAAGGTGTGGATGGATAAAAATAGTTGTTATTTTGATATGTTGGAAGGTACTTTTTGTTGGAAATTTAACTCTCTACCTCTCTTTTGCATTAGGTGTCACTCTTTTTTGGTTGTGTTTCTTCTGTTCTAGTTTCCTGATCTGTAGTTCTTTTGTAAGTACTTCAAAGCTATTGTCATTAGCTCAAGAAACTTGTTAGATTTTGGTCCCAAATTTGGGTCTCTGCCACAAGTGTCTACACAAGTGAAGTGTGTTGCAATATTAACCATGCTAAGTATAGATCCCTTTTTATTCAATTTTTTTCTGCCAACCCATTTGGTTTTTCATCGTAAGACTTGACATACATGCTTGAATTGATAGATCAAAGAGAATACCTAAAATGATTCACTGAGTATGGTGAGTCATTATCTGTTATCGACTCATCTGAAATCCCATGGCAAGCAAACCGATTTACAATATGTTAGTAAATTGTTACTTGATGTGCTGTGCAACAGCTCGGTTTCGACCACTGATCCCATTCAATTCAAATAGATCTGTGCCAACCTTGGATGAAGGGCAACCGGGAATCTCATGTGGTTTCACTTGTTTATTGCATTCTATTTCCTGCATTTATGGCAGATTTCATACTTGGATACATGACGTTTTTGCTAAGTACACTCAAGGGTAACCCATCTTTTCAGATTACTAACTGAGAATCAGATTGCTAATTGAGAATATAAATGTGCTTCATATAAACTATTCTTATTTGTAGTGTGGATAGGGCCTAACCAGACTAAAGTTCAAAGGTGAAACTGGCCAGTCCAAGGCATAGTCCAGTTATGATGACATGATTATGTCCCATCCACACCACAAATTTTAACCATTCTGTAACTAGGTCAGGCACAATCCATGTTGTAATTATTTCCCCAAAGCTCATTAATAGTTGTATTGTCCTGGGCCATTTAGAACAGCGCAAAAAAAATTCCCAACATTGTTTCACTGGAAAACATGCCTGTAATCTGATGATCTAATACTCTTGATATGTTCTCACACTGTCAACAAAGTATTATTGCCCCAACAAAACTACAACAGTGCAGGGCGTGATTATCTAATCCAGTAATAACCATAAAAATGTCATAAATTAAACAATGACTCTACCCATGTTGTTTTAAGTGAATGTGTACAAAATCATGAGTTGTGTAAGAGCCATGGTGACCCAAGTGACTCATCTTCAGACTTCAGTCACTTTAGGTTAGTGAGCATTGTGAAGATTTATTTAGTACTATCTACTGGGCTGATGTGTTGTTTCCATGGGGTTAGGAATACCTATCTGTTATATCAAGAGTATAGGAAGCAATAAGACTTTAGGAGGGCTACCATGCAGAAGAAGAATGTATTGTCAGTGTGCATGCATGGGACTTGGAGACAGGAACTCTTGAATTCTGTTCCCAGCTTTGCAGCTGACTCAGTTGTTGGCCTGGTCAGTTCACTTAACCTCTGTCTCAGATTTCCCATCTGATGATTTGTCACTCAAAGGGTATTCCCAGGATTAATTAGTTAATGCTTTACTGTGATTTAAAGATTAAAGTTTTAGTGCAGCGGCCAGTGGTTCTCAAACTGTGGGTTGGTACCCCAAAGTGGGTCGCAAGCCCATTTTAATGGGGTCACCAGGTCTAATATTAGACTTGCTGGGACCTAGAGCTGAAGCCGACGCCTGAGCCCCTCCATCCAGGACTGAAACCGAAGCTCAGAAGGGGGTCGCAGTGCAATGAGAACTGAGAATCAATAGATTTCTACGTCAATGGAATTGGTACAGGGGAAAAAAAACATATTCTGACCCTCATTAGCAAACTCATGTTGTGTCAGCTCTCCATGAAATTTCTCTCTCACAGGAAATATCTTTATTCATTTATGTTTTTATGAAGCCTGTAAACTGGGCTGATAAATACATGGGACTCATTCCATTTATAATAATATTTTAGTCATTTGAGCTACAAATTGACTAACTACTAGTGCTATTCTGCACACAATGGGTTGTAGTTTGTAGACATGAGTTATAAACTCCTCAAGACCTGGAAATAATTTATTAGCAGTCAAGACATATTAACAAGCCACATGCCTAAAGTCTGTTGAAAGATGAAATGACACAGCTGTCAATTAAAAATAAAATCTAGCTAACTATGTCATCTGTTTTACTGTAGTTATGTTAAGCCAGATTCTCAACTGCCTTGTACCTTGTGTAGACATTTACAATATCAGTGAAAAGAGGGAGCAAAACCACGACAAATCAGAATGGTAGCATTTTACAACCACTTTCCTCTCTCTTACCAAGGTGAAAATGACTACAAAAAAGTACAAGGCAGAGGAGAATCAGCCCAGATAGTTCAATAAACCATGAACCACTAGCATCATTTTTTGAGTCGATTGATCATATTCTGTCCTCAGTTACATGGAAGTAAATGTGAAACCACTTGAAGTAACTCTTTTGAATTGTAAATGAGAACAGAATTTGGACAAATGATTATAGAAGCCCTGACAGTGGTTCATGGTTTATTGAATTCTAGGCACTGGAAAGTTTTTCTTTCCTAACAAACATTTCAGGCTAGATTGTGCAAGGTTCACTGATGTTGAGGAGCAGTTACTCTTCCTTGGGACTACTTATGGGAGGGAATGTTCCCCATCAGGAGTGAGCTGCACAATTGACACAGGCTTCCGGATACACTGGGCCAGATGCTGCAGAGCTCTGCAGCCTCCTCTGCCAGAGCTGCACCACATGTTGGGGGCAGGGAGGGGATGTGTCAGGGCAGGACTCTGCTACGCCCAATTATTTTCTGGTGGAAAGTTTTCTACCAGCAGTGTAAGTTAAAGGTGCCCCCCTCTTCCTTTAACTTAGCTGCGGCCAAGCCACTAAGAATCAAGGAGACATGACTGGTTCCCTAACCACCTCCCCATACCTAGGAGCCTTGCTCAGGGACAGTGGAGAATTGAGACCAGCTTTTCCTAAATATTTTTGAAAATTTCAGAGGGATTTTATTCTCTTCATGTGGTCACACCCTCCAACTGCAGGGTGATGGGTGCCTTCTAAATATCGTAGATAGACAGATGGTTTGACAATTTATCTTTTTCAAAGAAAGAAATAATTTTTAAAACTCAGTCCCATCAAAATGGTAAAGCCCAGATCAGCATTCCCTAGGAGAATTGTTATAGACAAGGACTATTTAGAATAACAGTATTTCTATACACTCCCTTTTGAGAAGAGGCATGCAGCTGCTGGTGTCTCAGATATGGCATGCTGCCAAGTCAGATACATCATATCTTGGGAAGAACAAGCAAGATGAATAGTATCCTAACTGGGGCCTCTTCTTTTATTACCTTTTATGTTATTTTATTTTATTGCCTCTTATTAGCATTTTATTATCTGTGCTAGCCAGATTCTTTACAACTTTCAGGCTTGGGGCCTGATTCATCACTGCAACATGTCTTGTGTAGTCACACCCGTTCAAAGTGAGTCTATAACACTGCCATTCTCCCTTGCCAGTATACCTTATCTACAAAGCTCTCTAGTGTATAAGCCACTATATCGGTTTTGTACTGGTATGCTAATGCTACAAGTGAAACAAGCTATTCCAGTAACGGTTCAGATTTGCCAATATAACTGTGCCTACACTAGGGACTTCTGCCACCATAGCTATGTCGGTCAGGGATCACACCTTCTCACACACCGGCAGAAGTCTGTAATGTAGACCTAGCCTTGGCAACATTTTTTTTTGCACCCTCCTTTCCCTCACTTTGCAAGGTGCAGGGCAGTGGTTAATTCCAACATTCCAACTAGATATCACAGACTGAAGTGGATACTACACTGGAAACAAACCTTATAGGAGCATTACAATCTATCAGATGAACAGATGAATTAACTTGAACCTAGTTACCATCTGACAAATATATATTTTTATTAATTTATTTATGATCAATGAGTGGTATTTTATTAATAATTGTTATTGATCACTTACAAAATGCCTTGCATTTACACAAAGCCTTGCAAACATAGATCTTATAATCAAAATAGATAGTTTAAGATAGGCAAGATCAGGGGCTGAATTAGAACAGTTGCTTAAACAGTTAGTACTTCTACCTGATGGCTGCATTTTGTGCTCCAGAATCAAAACTTTGTTGATTTTTTAAAAGAAATTGCTCCTCCTCATGGTTGCAAAGAAATATTTTGCAAATATGAAGTGTAACAAATGACATGATGTCTGCCTGAGTCTGCAGGAAGCCTGAAACAATAGCTCAGAGAGGTCTGAATTGCCTCATTCATCTCAATAGATGTGAATTCTAAATTAAACTATCAAAATTATTATATGTCAGCACTGTTTATTCCATTCTCCTTTATCATCAATGTACTACAAACTGCTCCCTTCCACGCAGCATAATGGAGTAGGGAGCATATGGTCTGTTGTTTATAAATTGGGATCTGTCTGAATTAAAGGAGTACTATGAGTGCAAGATAGAATTATTAATGTCTTACCTAGCTTAAGGTAGACTCTAATAATACTGTCAAGTTTTAAATTATAGACTGAATAAAGTATTGGAATAAAGTCTGTGTGTTAAGTTTGTTATCATGGAGTTGGGCCAAATCATGAAGCCATTACTCAGTCTTGTTTATCTAGGTTCTTATATCACATCCATCACTGTAATATCTGGGCACCTCTGATGTTAATGGGAATTTTATCTGAGTCTGGACTGAGTACAAACTTCAGAATTCAGCTCATAGAGAATTGACAGATAAGTATATAAAAATCTCTAGAAACATAAATGCTAACTCTGTTTGAAAGAGAGGGCTTGTGTTTTAATTTGAGGAGTTCAAGGGTGCACTGCAGACATCTGGTCTATCTCCAGTTTATTTACATAAGTGTGTAGCTCTGGGACAGTTTAATATTTAACTATGGAAATGGAGTATTAATGGTCTATTGGATCATTGAAACAAGAGGCATCCAGAATGAGGTAATGCTGGTGGAAATTATCGGTGACCATTTTAGAAAAATATATTGAAAGTCTCAAGGCTACCTTACCAGCAAAATATTTTTATCTAATAGCATCTTTAATGCAATCTGGGTCCCAAAATGCTTTCTGAAAATATTTAGCACAAGACAGCTTATGGCATACAGAACAGAGTACAGTGATAAATAAACACTGTATGGCAAACAACAGAAAGCATTCAATCATAAGACCAGCTGAGGGTCCTATTGAATTCTGCGTAAGTCATGGTGAACATTGAATCTGTTACTTGCTGAGGACAACTTGAACAAGTTATATGACTCTTCTTGCATCAATACTGTGTGTGTATTATGGCTTAGATGAATAGATTCATTGCGCCTACAGCTTTTGCGTCATGGAGAGGAATACTGAGAATAGACTTTCGTTGTATTGTAAGCTGCCATTATTCCATTAACCTATGCTCATTACTCAGTCTAGCTAGGCTGCTGCTGTACAACCTGATGTTACAAAGAACAAAGGTGAATTCTATTCTCAGAATTATTCCAATCACCAACTGGAGGGAGAGAACTTAGATGCTGCACATCAGTTTGTAAGGAACGAAGAAACTGGACACCATTTAATTTGTATTTTCAAGCGCATATTCAAATATTTATGCCTGTAGTATGTAATTCTATCAAAGCAATAACAAACATATTTTCACAGTAGAAATATTTGGATACAACACCATCGGTTCAGCTACAATAACTGTATTTTCTTTCAGATTTTGATATAATTTTATACTGGAATAATTTAAATGAAAACTCACAACTGAAAATATTAATATTTATATATATGGGTCTATTTTTACAATAATTCAAAGGGTTAGTCAAGTAACTCCCTAGTTACTTGTATGTTGTTACTGTATAACAACATGTAACTTTACAATCAAGATTTAGGATAATGGTCTGGTAGTGAAAGTCTTATTACCGTGTGATCCTAAAGCAAGGAAAGAAGACTTAGAGAAGGAAATGTTACATTGTTATAGTGTGTTATAAATGCCTATTTTCATAAGGGTAGCCAAAAATTAGGATAATTTTACCAAAATATAAGCAATGTAAAAGTCACAATTAGCACTAATTGAAATTATTTTGGGTGATCTTATTAGGGGCACCAAGGACTGAATGGCCAGAGCTGATTCCTTTAGTAAAGCATTGAGGTAGACTGGTAGTGTAGGGAGATTTATTCTGCTATGACACACCTGTTCTTTGGACAGAACACTTCATTATCCTGGACTGCCAATCTTTTCATCAGAACTAGCAATCTTTAAGCATGACCATTTTGAAAAAGAATAATACTAAAAGATGCTTCTTGCACCTACGTGTGTGCCAAAGCAACCAAAGGGATCGGTGGAGACGACACCGATACTTTGGACAAGAATATGACAGTGACTATAATCTATTAGACACAACAGGTAAAATTTTCAAAAACACCTAAGTGACTTAGGACTGATGTCCCATTTTCAAAAGTGACTTAAGCACTTAGGAGTCTAAATCGCACTGAGTTTCCATGGGACTTCAGCTCCTAAGTCACGTAGGTGCTTTTGCAAATTTTACCCATTATCATTTGGATGATGGTGCTGCAGTTGGGAGATATTGATCAGCTGCTACATTTTAACTGTCATAAAGAGCAAATTAACAGCTTGAAGCTATAACTCTTTCTCATTCAAGTATTCTTTACTCACGTGACTAGTGCCATTGAAATCAATAACATTACTTGCATGAAAAAGACTGCGGGCATGAGTAACGGTTACAAGATCAAGCCCCCATGTTTTACTTTGGATAAACTGGTCTCTGGCCATAAAAGTACTAGTATTTGAAAGGCTGAATTTATTTTCCATTTTATAGTGGGGCAAATCCTGAAGTACTCACTCAGGGCTAGTTCATGCAATCCTCTCTCATGCTGGTAATCACTTAGTTCCTTTGACTTGAATGGAACTATTTGTTTGAGTAAATGCTTACCAGTGTGAGTAAGGTTTTCATAATCTACTTATAGATCAACATACCTAAGTCAGTCAATAAGAGTTTTTCCTGAGTAAGGAGTGAGTAAAAACTAAGTAAGGACATCAGAGCTGGGATATTTGTGAATAAGGATCAGATGGCAATCTGACCCAACCTAGCCCAAATTCCATGTAGTATAATTCAGAGGATTCACTGTAGTATTATTTTCCACTTACTGTTGCCTCTGTTTTTCTAGCCAACCATTCGGCGCCATCATGATTTCGATGCAGAACGGGATGCCAAGAAACTACAAAAAGCTTGCAAAGGGATGGGTAAGAATGCTATTGTTTTTAACATGCTGTTTAGCTGTGTTGGTACCAATGGAACAGTTCTGCATTGTAGAAGTTGTATGTCCAAGCGCACACTTGCGGCAAAACAACTGCTTGATCAGTTTTGAGTTAACCTTTCTGTTTTCTATCAGCTATCGAACTCCACTTATTAACTCGAAAGCACAACTGCTCTGTGTGTGCATAGATAGATACAGATACCCTCACAGTATGATATATTATATTAGCTTGGGGGAAATAATCTTAATCGTCATTAGCTACACATGAATCATTACTACACCCCAACGTGCTTGTGGATCTAATATTGATGAAGAGTAAAATCACTGGCTAATCAATACATATTTACCCCACAAGTGTCCTAACCTCATTACAGTAACGGTCCAATCCTGAGCACCTCCTACAAGGTGCTGAACACCCCTCACTTCCACTGAAGTCTACAGGAGCTAAGGGCACTTGGCACCTCACAGAATTGGGCCTTCACTATGCCCATTATTCCTGGTGTGTTAACTTCATGACTTAATCCCAAAGGAGCAGAAAGAACATGGCATTCATTCACTGCAACTGACTGGTCAAGCTGTCAGTAACAATAACAGGAATAGTGAACTCTCATTGTTCAGCACTGGCATTAGGGGTAGGTTACAAAGGCAGCTACCTAGGACACCTGAATATTAAGGGCTGCTCTTGCCTGGCCAACCCCCCTTCCCCCCCCCGCCATGACAGCTTCACTGGGAAGTGCCCCATTAAAAGCACACTCCCACACCTCCAGGTTGCAGTGGCACGGAGCACCAAATCTGACCTGGTGTTCAGATTTTCTACAAGGAATAGCTGAAAATAGGGGATATACACATGTCCTATACTGACATATCTATTCAGCGTCTACATCGGGGTCAAGAATTTTGGTTTCTCACTTGATATTTAGAATACGGCTGTGCATTAAACAGGCAGGCCACATGGCTGGAAATTGTCAGGAGTTAGCATGATACCTCTCCAGTTACATCATTAGAGCTAACATCCAGGATGGCGGAGTTAAATCTTTAAGGTCATTCCTGGCATCAAGCTGCCCCAGGAGATCCTTTTAGCTCCTCTAAGACAATGTCATCGGTACAGGCAAATCTTTCTGACAGATGGGCTGCACAGCGATTACACATGGGCGGCTGGATTCTCACTGACACTTTGGCCTCTTCGTGCCGCTCTGGCAGTATAAAGGGGCCTAGTGTAAATGAGAAATAAGACCTCAGACACTGACCCACAGCTGTTTGTCTCTCCCATCAACACATTGGGCTGCTGGCTCTTTCCTTCCCCCACACATTGTAACTCTCTCCCCTCATTCCCCTCTGGAGTGAAATACTTCACCTTTATCACCGCTTTGCACTGCGTTTGCCTCTCCTTGTCTCTGCCCCTAACATTGTACACTAACAACAGGAGCCAGGGGATTGTCAGCGTGGACACTACACTGTGGCCCAGTTCCCATACAGGGAGTCACACACAAAGAATTTCAGTGACAGAATTCACGTTGTGCTAGGCAATAGGTGGCCTGAGGTCTGACTTTGGCCATTGCGATGGAATATACCGCTGTGTTCACACTCTACTCACTATTGTAATAATCTTTGTACCAAGTACGCCTTGTGAGGTATCATTTACACCAGTGTTTCCCAACTGGTGTGCTGCAGCACACTGGGGAGCCGTCAGGCCTGAACAGGTGTGCCGTGGAATTTTTTGAAAAGCTACATACAGAGTGGGGGCGGGGTAGGGGGAAGCAAGGGGGGAGGAAGTCACCTTCTGATTGGCCGACTGCCTCACTGCGCCGCCTCCTCCAGGGGCAGAGAAATCCATCAGAGCTCAATATCCCTCTCCTCCCCACACTCCTCCTGTGAGCAACGGATTGGCTTCTCTGCCCCTCGCCCTCCCTCCTGCAACCGCCAACTGGGGGTGGGAAGCCTGGACAGGGACCCTGCTGCAGCCCCCCAGGAGAAGCGGGGGGGCTGAATTGAGAGGTGGGGGTGCGGTGTGAGGTGGGGGAGCTGGGGAGGCAGAACAGGTGGGGGCTGGGTGGGGCAAAATTGGGATGAGGTGGGGGCTAGACTGGTGGAGGGTGAGGACAGAACTGATGCGGCAGGGGTGCCATTTAGAGAGGGCGGGGAAGCACCTGCCCACCTGAATGGGTGGAGATGGGAGGGCATGGGGGGCATTGCTCCCCAAACTGGAAACATCGCAGAAGCGATGCATGGGGGTGGCAGATTTCTGCCTTTCATTTGGCCCTGCTCCCTCCCCAAGCCCAGGCTGGCCAGGGCCCCTTAGGTGGGCATAGAGGAACATTCAGGCAGTGGGAGTGAGTGGCGACACCAGGCGTTCTGTGCATCCAGATCAGTTTCCCCATGTGGGCTGGGTAATAGCCACCGCACCCTCCAGGCTCAGGCTACGTCTTCACTACCCGCCTGAATCGGCGGGTAGAAATCGATCTCTCGGCGATCGAATTATCGCGTCTCGTCGGGACGCAACAATCGATCCCCGAATCGACGCTTGTACTCCACCAGCGCAGGTAGGAGTAAGCGCCATCGATGGGGGAGCCGTGGAGGTCGATTTGCCGCCGTCCTTACAGCGGGGTAAGTCGGCTCGGATACGTCGAATTCAGCTACGCTATTCGCGTAGCTAAATTTGCGTATCTTAAATCGACACCCCCCCCCCGTAGTGAAGACGTACCCATAGATATGTCATCCTCAGTGCCTGTTAACCAGTGGATGCCAGTAGCCATGGTGACTGTGTAGGACGGCATAGCCTTGGCTGGCATCCTCATGGCCACAAGGAGTGGAGCTGTCCCCACTGCGCCAACAAAAGACTGAGCGCATGGCTGGGCCCTGCATCAGCAGCACCCCCTCAGACACAGCCCCCCTGCACCTTGAGCTACACCCGTGCCGGCACACAGCCTCTGCCGACTGTGAATGGTAAGGGTGGTAAGCAGCTTAAACCGAGGAGATAAGAGGGCAAGTTCATTTGGATATATGGTGATGTGTCTCAAAATAATTAAACGTATCATGGTATGCAGTGGCAGAGAAAAGGTTGGGAACCATTGATTTAAACACTCAGAATTTTCTGGTCAGTATCGTCCTGATAAAACGTGTGGCTACACAGTATGTGAAGTTATAAAATTCCCCTATCTGGTGGGTTATTAATACATGGTCCAAGCCTCACAGCCCTGGCCAAACAGAAGTTGGCAAACAGATCTGTCCTAACAAAGGAATGTGTGCTTTGCTTAATTTTCATGTAAGCAGTAAACAGAGTCATCAAGCAGGGAGGGAAACAAAGAAAGCTCAAACCAGTGAGAAAAAAACAGCAGGGAACATCCTTCCACATAGACTCTTTGTCTCCTAGTGCCCAGCTGGAAATGTTTTTCAAGAGGGGAACTGAAACTATAAAAAGGAGGGACAAACACTCCAAGGAAAACCCCTCTCTCACCCTGCTTATCACATTCACTTCACCTAAAGAGACAACGGAAGCAGTCATTGGACTCTGGGGGAGGGGTCCTAACCCACAGTGCTTGGTCAGTAAGACTGCTGAAAGCATGTGATGAGAAACTTGAATCTGATGTAGTTTGTTAGGCATTAGTAAGTCTTTTATCTTTATTTTTCTTGTAACCATTTCACCATTTCTGACTTTTATGCCTCATTACTTATACTCACTTGAAATCTCTTTGTAGTAAATAAACTCGTTTTACTGTTTCATCTAATCCAGTGTGTTTAAATTGAAGTGTCTGAATAACTACTTGAGATAATAAGCCTGCATATTATTCCCTTAAAGAAATAATGAACTTAAAATATTTGCACTGTCCAGGAGAGCACCGGGGTGGGCAGTACAGGACATATTTCTATGGGGGGGAATCCGGACCTGGGGGTTTGTTAGGTCACCCTGCAGTATAACCAAGGCTGGTGAGAGCCAGACTGTAACCCAGGTGTGACTGGCAGGATGCAGTTACACATACTCAGGGTGTGGCTTTCATGCTGGAAGGCTGTTTGTGAGTGGCTCAGGTGGGAGCTACTTCAGCAAGGCATTGTAAGACACCCAAAGTTGCAGGACAAGGGTGACACAGCCCCCTACTGATCTGGACTGTACATTGGTATGTCATAGCCATCTGTGATCAAAGTAACTAAGAGAGCAAGAATCAACATAGTTATACACCGGTCCGTGCTCCTGCTGAAGACAGTGAGTGTTTTGCAATTGTCTTCAATAGGTTACCTTCCCATGGGACGTGCCATACTGGGTCAGACTATTGGCACACTTGTGTTCTGCTGCCAAAGGTAGTCAGTATCTGATCCTTCAAAGGAGGCCAACTTCCAAACCCTAACAAATAATACACCTGGCTAGTTGTTCAGTGCTACACAGGGTGGAATTTCTTCCTGATCCCTGATGAGCTTATTCCTTGAAACATGAGATTTGGTTCCCTAATGATTTCTTAGCTTTAAGTGGCATTGGCTTGGGTGCACTTTCTTTTTATGTTCTGGCTGCAGACTAAAAGTAACGTTTTTTAAATGGTACATGCTAGAAAAGCTATCCTTGACACCAACTGATGTTCTGAAACTAATTTTCTACTAATTAGAAGGGAGAGTACTTGATCATCTTTTCCTCTCCCAGCAAAAATGAAATCTGCGGGCAGTTTCTGAACGATTTCCTCGTCTACATTAATATTTTTTAGGAACAGATGAAACGGCAATTATTGAAATCCTATCAAATCGATCATCAGACCAGAGGCAACAAGTAAAACAGAAGTACAAGACCATGTATGGCAAGGTATTTAAAAAAAAATGGCCCTGTTGTTTTAAACAAAGTGCTCTTTAGAAATGTGCCCCCACATTTCCCCATTTTTGATAATGCCATGTGTCTGGCAGTTTTTAAAAGACACAGAATTAGAAAGTTAGTTTCCGATGAAAGAATTACTGTCACTTAACATATTGATTATATTAATCATCCTGGGCCTTACAGATAGGTTGGTAAAGTAGAGTGGATTGAAATTTGGAATTTCTGTTCCGTGGGAGATTCTGAGCTTTCAAAATACGTTTTCGTCCCAATTTGGGATGAAAGGGCAAAATCTGAGAATTTTTCACAAAATGAAATATTCCAAAAATATTTTGTTTTGATAAGGGCAAAATGTTCTGTTTCAACTTTATCATTTAAATTTTTTATATTGTATTATACATTATAATTTAATAACCTAAAAGACAAACGTTTCCATTTGATCAAAACACTATGTTTCAACCTTATCTAGACATTTTGATAATTTCCACAACATTTTTCAATTTCATCTCATCAGCATTTTCCAACAGAAAACTGTTTGGTTGGAAAATTTTCAACCAGCTCTAGAAAACTGCATTTACCACTTCAAAGTATTTTTATCAAATTCAGTAGAGCTGGACATTTATACTAAAATTCCAGAGCCTTTTAAAACATTTTCATTTTTGTTTGCCTCTCCTGCAGTAAGAAAGAATGCCTGAACCGAGGGTAAAGGTAGTTGATGTAGCAACAGAAATTCCCTAATGCAAATTCAGAGGGTCGATTCTGATATCACTTGCACCAGTTTTACACCAGTGTAATTTTATTGACTTCAATGGATTTACTGCTGATTTATACCAGCATGAGATTAGAATCTGACCTACAAATTGCCAATAAAGTTAAAAGGATCAGAAATCTGTTTTGGTACTTGACTTCTGAAAGGAAAGACTCAATGCCTGAGTAATCTTTAATATAAGAAAAATAAAAGCCTCCAAAACACCTGTTTTAGGCATAGGGTCAAATCCTGCAGGCTTTATACTTAATTTGTAATTGATTAGAGCTAGTTGCAGATTAGGTCACTAATCAATGTCAGTAAGGGTGGCAGTATTGGGCCAAAAATCCTCCAATGGGCCAAACCCAATAGTGAGTGCAATAAGAATTTTGCCTGTAAAGACTGCAGGATTTGTTCCACAATGAGTATTTGAAGCAGCAGATGTTAGAGAATTGAGCCAAAGGGTCTTAAACGACCAATTTGAGACATCACAGTTACAGTGGCACTGATATTGGGAATTTCTGACTTATTTCCAACCAAAGGACCCAACTTTTGGGTGTTATCACCCTTAACAACCATACACAGTAATAATACTTTGCTCTTGCCTATATAGCATGAGCCTCTTGAGACAGTGTATCAAGTAGTCCCAACTCACCTTTTCTAGGCACTGGAGTGCCTGGTGGGTTACACTGAGATAAGTATATTGACGTCAATAGAGGGACTCCTGATGTACATTGGTGTCAATGAGAGAAGAACCAGGCCCATAGATTTAAAGTTATTTTTTCCTTTTTTCTGATCTGAATTTTTGGAAGACTTCCTTTAGCACAGGAAATGTTAACAACTCTGTAGACTTAACACAAATAATCAACAAACAATAGTAAACATTACCTCTCCATTCTCTGTGTGGATTTTCTGTGCTATGAATTAACTTTCTGGGCTACTTCCTTAGGATTTGGAAGAGGTACTGAAAGGAGAACTAAGTGGGAATTTTGAAAAGACAGCCTTGGCTCTGTTGGATCGTCCATGTGAATATGATGCCAGAGAGCTTCGGAAAGCAATGAAAGGCGCAGGAACTGATGAATCGGTGCTGATTGAGATTCTTTGCACCAGGGTCAATAAGGTTCGTGGGTGTTTAGCGGTTATTATACATTTTCCTTGCAGTACTGCTCTGACTAGTGTGCACACGTTACTCCTGCCTTCTAGAAGAAGATATGTCAGACCTGCTCAAGTGAGTGGAGTATGTCTCCCTTCAGAGGCTGCAGACAAAAGGCTATCAGCCCCCTCAGACTGGAGTCAGGAGCATTTTTTAAGGAAGTGACCATAATAGTTAGGCCATTTGTCCTGTTATAAACTGGACAGTCCTCTTTTGGGGTAGTTTGTCCCCCATCCAGTACTGTGACAAAACCGCACGTGGTTATGTCTGATATCACATGGGGGATGACATTTGAAGAGTGTGTCACTTTACCTCTGCCAGCATGACCTTACACACCACGCGTGCAAGGTCACACCGGGAGGCGGGGAGGGGGTATCTCATCTGCAGGGGCGGGCCCATGCCATTCCTAGAAGTACCGGAATGTCTGGTATTCTGGGACCACGTGAGTGGCCACCCTAGACCCAAAATGCTATGTAGATAAAGAACATCATAGTCGCATCAGAAAGTTCCCTCTCAGCCCTCCAGTACGCACCTCCCTCAGAATATGAGTAGGCTTTGGAGAGATGCAGAGAGGGATAGATGCCTGGGGTTGTATCCTACATCACAACACAACAACATTTATGCCTGTTTAAGGCAGCGTGAAGAGCCCTTTGCATCACTGCAGCAGTTCAAAGGGCATTTAGGCCCGCCCAACTCAGGAAAGTGATCCTCTTCAGGACAGCAGTTAAGCATGTGCTTAAATCCCATTGAAATCAAAGAAACAAAGTTAAGCATGTGCTTAACTGCTGTCCTGAATAGGAATGGATTTAAGCATGTGCTTATGTGCTTTCCTGAACTGGGATCTTAGTGGAGACTGAGAATCTGGCCTATTAAATATCTCCCACTAAATGTCATCATTCTATCTGGGGTCTAATCCCAGGCACACCACTGTGGTATCTGAAGATGTCAAGTCACATGGGCATGTTACTGACCTGATTTTTTGTTTGTTTGCTTATCCCAGCAAATTGTAGACATAAAGGATGCATACAAAAGGCGTAAGTGATATTTTATTTTAAACACCCTCATTTAAAGAAAATATCTCACCCTTTAGCAGTGAATAAAAACTTACAGACTTTTTTTCTTAATAGTCTTTGAGCGGGATCTAGAATCTGATGTAAAAAGCGACACAAGTGGCTCCCTAAGGAAGATTCTGGTTTCTGTGCTACAGGTAAGGGTTGGAATATTTCTATTACAAACCTACATGATATAGACATTTCTTTTCTACCCCACCTAGATAGTGCAGTATAATAAATCTCTATTCTGTGCACACAGCCTTTTTACAGCAAAACATCTATACTTACAGCCTTTTAACCAAATCTAGTGTCATAATTAAAGATGAGTGTACAATTCAGGCTGGATGTGACCATGGCTCCAATAACAGCTCAGCCTCGGCTCTTCCTGTCTGAGGTTTATAGTGTACGACCTAGGGACACAAAAGAGGATCTGCCCCCAGTCCAGGGAGATTTGATTATTGAACTGTTGTGCTGGATTCTTACTTACTTACCACCTGGTTCTATATACCAGGGGTGGCCAACCTGTTGCTCTGGAGCCACATGCGGCTCTTCAGAAGTTAATATGCGGCTCCTTGTACAGGGATCGATTCTGGGGCTGGAGCTACAGGCACCAATTTGCCAATGTGCCGGAGGGTACTCACTGCTCAACCCCTGGCTCTGCCACAGGCCCTGCCCCCATTCCACCCCTTCCCGCCCCCTCCCCTGAGCCTGCCATGCCCTCGCTCCTCCCCCTCCTCCCCCAGATCCTCCTGCACACCACGAAACAGCTGATCGGGAGGTGCGGGAAGGGAGAGGGGAGTGGGGCAGGGGGAGCTGATGTGGGGGCTTCTGATGTATCACTGTGGCTCTTTGGCAATGTACATTGGTAAATTCTGCCTCCTTCTCAGGCTCAGGTTGGCCACTCCTGCTATAGACCATAGCGGTCCTTGGCCATTCTCAGAATTTGCCCCCCACCTCTTTCTGTCAAGGGCATATTTTACCATTGATGGTAATTCTCACTAAGAGCTTTTAGATCTTGCTCAGTATTATCCCTCCATTGAAGATACTGGATTATTACTACTTTCTTTTGTATATTATGGTAAGGCCTAGAGTACCTAACCATGATCAGGGTTGCATTGCGCCAGAGACATAATTAGAAACAATTCCTCTCCCAAAAAGCGTACACTCTAAACAGACAAGACAGAGAAAGTATGGAAGTGGCTTGCTATGTTTTTCCATTCACACAGAGCAAACATAATATCAGACAGAATGATCTTTGTTTTAGATTAAGAAAACAAGAACAAAAGTGAAGTGTGTGTGTGTGAGTGAGTGAGAGAGAATTCACTGAACAGAAAACACAAAATGACTGTCCATCTCTGCAGCCAGACTTAGAGATGAAAAGGTACAGCACTCGGGAAGCAAAGGCACAACCGTGGCATAGCTAAATACATGACAGCTACATTCCCATTCTAGAATGTGGGAAGTCACAATGGTTTTGTTTGACCCCTCTAGGTGTATTTTCAGGGGGGGACAAACCAGGGAATATTCATAGATTTGTCCTTGATACGTGCTACCAGAAATTCCTGTCGAAAATTAAAGCAACACTAAAAAGGCAGCTGTTAGTGAATGGTTCTGATTGTTAAATAGGGAGGAACAGTACGGGGCCACATGATTTTTATTAAGGAATAGAAACGTGACAAAAGTGACATTTCACTGTAGGTACTGGAAATTTTTTTTAAATTGACTGTTGTGACAGACGTGTCTCCATATTCCCCTATTCTTGCAAGAAAGTTTCAGATGTAGGGTCAAGAGGCTACATGTTCCTGACAATCAGGAATCACTTGGGATGCTTCCACTGTACAGCACTGCACAACTGTGTAGGTAAAACATAGGATTTTTTCACCTTCTTCTGAAGCAAGAGGTATTGAATGTTGCAGAAGGCAGGATACCAGCCTTGGTGAACTAGCATCTCTCAAGTACAGCAAATACTATGGACTAAATTCTGCCCTGATTTATACCTTTGAAGTGAATGGGATTATGCAGGGTGCAAGGTAAACCAAAGTAGAATTTAGCCCTGTGTAATTTATTTATACAGTTCTAGACAATGGCCAGTAGATGGCAGCAAAAAGACTATGATGAAGCAGCCTGTGAACGCAAGAATGAAAAACGCTCCATTCTAGTACAGGTTTCAGAGTAGCAGCCGTGTTAGTCTGTATCCACAAAAATAACAGGAGTACTTGTGGCACCTTAGAGACTAACAAATTTATTTGAGCATAAG